ACAGACAGACAGACAGACAGACAGACAGACAGACAGACAGACAGACAGACAGACAAACAGACAGACAGACAGACAGGCATCTGAAAGGGATACAAGATCTCCGTAGACAGACCGAGATATTTCTTTAAAAAGTTCAAAAGTTTCCCACTTGGGAATCGAACTCAGGTCTCCTGTGTGCGATGGTGAAACCCCCAACCGCTTCAGCATAAACATTGGTATATGAGAGTGTACGTAAGTGAAATATTGTAATTTTGCTTAATGTAAAAAAAAAAAAATGAATGTATGAGCAATGTGTGGGATTCTGCTACCCGTCTGCATGAATACTATTTGTGGCCAATGATCTTTGACAAGAGCATACGAATAAGAAACGATGAGTTCCAGCCTACGAACATCATAATAATTGACAAAAAGGCAAACCCATATTCTGTAAAGACAGAATTGAAGAGAGGTCGGGAGAATAATTCAAAGAGCTGTTCAACCCACATCAAACAGCCGAAACAACTTGGAATTTCAGACAGAAAGACAAGGAAACTGAAGAACCACCCATACTAACAAGCGAAGTGGAAGCAGTAATAAAGAAGCGGCACAAACAATAAGAAACAAATAAATAAACAAACCAAAATAAAAATCCAAATCACCAGGTATTGATGGAGTAACTACAGAGGAGACCGTACAGGCTGGCTGAGAGGACGACAACACATCGCTACCATAGAATTACAAAGTTCTATCTGACATTTTTGGCTGTTTAGAGTTACCAAAACCAGGTGGTCAGAAGCTAAATAATCTATCAAAATCGTAAGATTATTCGGAGTCGTTATCAAGATATTCAAAGAATTGCTTTCTAAAAAGCTTGACATGTTGTGAAACTCCAAATTTGTAACTTCAAATTTATCAAAATTAGGTTCTGAGCAGATAGAATTTTGTAATTTTAGGGTAGCGACGTGGCCATGCCCCAGAACTAGTTATAACATGCTTGAAGAAAAAGACAACAAAAGCTAAAGCCGTCGACAACACAGTCAACGAGCGTCTCTTTGCTGACGACCAGCACAAACAACGGGAAAAGGAGAATGCTCTCAAAGAACCCGTAAACAAATTGAACAATAAAACAGCAAAGATCACAAGGAAGCGAAACTGAGACGATGATAAATCAGCAAAACACCAAGCCCACTCACTAACCATCACATACCTCCTTGACACATAAATACCTGCTGCTGGGTGAGGCGAAACACTTCCGTATCGGGTGTCATACTGACTTTACCATTAGACACATACTAGCAGAAGGATTAAATGTAGAAACTTGAATGATCTTTCCTCCATTGATTTTATAAAGTTCTTTGACCTTTACAGTAATATGTACATATTGTTATCTTAATTAAATGTAAGTTGTTGTTTTCACGACAAAAGTTTTTACCATAAAATTTTAAACTATTTTAATGGGATCATTGACCAAAACCAAGCCGTTCTGTGAACTGTTGTGAATGCAACCAACTTGTGTTTCGCGCGTTCATATGACCTTTTTAATATGCAGTTGCGAGCGCCGTGAAACGCTTACTAAACTGAACAATCGACAAAAGCAAATCTGAGAAAGCTGAAGCGTTCAGATCCCTGGAGAAATGTGTTCACCCAAGGCAGAAGGATAGAAAGAGAAATTGAAACCGGAATTTCAAAAAGGCCCGTGCTGTGTCTACCAATCTGCACCATTACTTTCACATCCTAACGCCACAATGGAAAAGCACCACAAAAATCAGCATCTTCATGCCAACACTGAGCCACCAAGCCCAAACATGGACAATAAACAAGCGTCACCAAAGTAAAATAAACGCCTGCGAAATGAGATACCTTAAGAAAAAAACCCGTTGAACATCACAAGAAGTGACATGGTGAATATAAATTATAAGAGAACAAATTGGCTCGACTTTCTGCTTAGAGGCTAGAGATAGATAACAAATAAAGAATGGTTTGGACAAGCTGTCAGATACAATATAACCATGCAACAGGCGATACAACAAACGAGAGAAGACTTCTGCTTCTCTCCTCGATACGATAGATAATAAAAGCCTGGAAAAAGTAAAGTAAGTAGATAGCTGACAAGAACTGGAATCGTCTCAAGAACAATTCAGCCCATAAGAGCCCTAGCCAGTCTTGAAGACTTTACAGATGGGTGGTAACATCACCATAACGCACACAATGCAACAGTTGTGTTTGTTGGTACTTTACATCATTGCGAGCAAAAGTAAATAATATGGTCCCTCACACAGGCATTTTGGTGAAGCCGTTAGGTAATTCGCAGTCGGATGCAGAAGACGCTAGTTCGATTTCCAAAATGGGGAGAATTCTTACTGAGTACCTCACTATTTCTGCTGGGACGTTGTATCTCTCTCAGACCTGTTTGGGCCTAACTTGCAGGGTCGACGTCCGCCTCCAAAATGACCTACAGTGTGTCAATAGGGGCGTCAAATGCCCAACTTTTTAAACAAGGATAAACCCTCACAAAAGAGCTACCGAGAATATAGGCATCAAAAGCGCAATGCCGCCTTAAACCTTGTGATTTCCTATATGGACCACATCACAAACCAAGTCAATCGATCTTCTCACAACAGTAAAGATGGGGGAGCCGAATTTGGTACCGTTACAAAACAAGATCAAGCGGCTTTGCAATGACCGTTCTACAAGTGGATGCTACAAAGAAAAAAGAAACAGAAAAAGGGATACATGTCTTTTGAGCCCTCCATTCTTAAAATAACTTTATAGCGTCTTCCGTGCACGATGTCACAGAGATCCATATCTGGCTCGACAGAGAGTGGAAATAATCTAAATTGTGTAGATTCAAAATACCGACATTATTTGAAAAACAAGAGAACAAAAACCCGGATGAGTGTAGAAGGTCAAATAAGTTCCGAATGGAGGGCTCAAGAGGACTTTAAATTTCCGGCAGACGTGATGGACATTGGACAGACATCACAGAATGAAAGAGTGTTGCAGTCTGTAAGCAGAGCCCAGAAGGCTTTACCAATTAAGGAGAAAGAAGTAATAATATATGGGGGCGGTTTAGTTTAAAATGTAGGTGTTTTAAATTTTCTCCACCATT